TAAATACAGAGTTCTCTCTCTCTGTTGTGTGTGTGTGTGTGCATTTGACAAAACTAAATTTAGAAAAAGCCATTTTGAAACCAAGCAATGAGTAGAAGTGTTCTCAATTAGAAGGTATAAAAGTCATCAGAACAGAGTGGCTGGATAGGAATGACAGAGTCACTTTATAAGTTGTGCTAGAAATTTCCCATAGCTCAAGCATGAGTGAGGGCATGTAGGCACTTTTACCTAACCGCTGACATTAGCACAGACAAAGATGTATTGTGCTGGGATTGAATCCACGGCCTTGTGTGTTCCAGGCACGTGCTCTTCTCTCTGCCCCGATACAGAATAAAAAGCACTACCTTCTAGTAAAGGGCCAGGGAAATAGCTCAGCTGGTAAACTACTTGCCATCCAAGCATAAGGACCTGAGTTCAGTCCCCAGAACCCACATTTAAAATGCCACGTGTGGTGGCATGTGCTGGGGAAGAAGAGACTCGTGAATCCCTAGGGCTTGATGGCCAGCTGGCAGAGCCTACTTGCTGAGTTCTAGGCTGTGAGCAGTCCTGCCTCATAAAAACAAGGTGGATGAGCCTAAGGAGCTATGGCCAAGGACGCCCTCTGGTCACCATGTACACATGCGCATATGTGCAACTTCAGAGACAACTGTAGAAGTCCAAGGAAAAAGTCCCTCACTGAAAGCTACGTTCCGGCCGGCAATGGTGGCGCGTACCTTTAATCCCAGCATTCCAGGGGCAGAGGCAGGCAAATCTCTGAGTTCAAGGACAGCCTGGTCAACAAAGCAAGTTCCAGGACAGGCAAGGCTACACAAAGAAACCCTGTCTCGAACCCCCTACCCTCGATGCACATAAAAAGAAAGCAAGCCAAGTTTCAATATTGGAGCCATATGGAAACAACAGAAAAAGGATGTTTTCATCCTACAACAGACACTCTTACTCCTGAGAAAAGAAATAGTTATTTGTGTATATGCTTTAGAAGACATCAGAAAGATGAATTTCCAAGAAAATATTGCCTTATCTTCTGGTTAGTGCCTGGAGATCCTTCATTTGTGGAGAAACACCTAAATTCTACCATAACATAAAAATATAAGTATAAAATGTAACTTTCTCTGAGAAGCCCGTCATCTGCAATGCTCATTCCCCAGCACTTAGGGGAGACTTGGGATGATTTCCTTTAGTCCCTGCGGTGGCTGATCCTCAGAGCTCTTGCCTCTGTGTTTTCATCCGTGCTCTGGTGGGTACCTTTCCTTCAGGAACCAGTAGGATGGGGCAGAAGTGACGCGCTGTGTGCCGTTTCTAAGGCTGGATTAGGAGAAGCTGTAGAGCGCCTGCTTCGGCCTCTTGGGGTACTTGTTCTGAAGAAAGTCAGCCAGCACAGTCAAAACCAAAAGCAGGGACAGAGGGATGGCTCAGTCAGTAAGTGCTTGGTGCACAGGTAGAAAGATCCGAGTTCCATCTGAGAATCCACATAGACTGGATGCACACCCCCCTGACCCTAGTGCTGGCGAGGCAGAGACAGGGTTCATGGCGCCTGGCAGCCAGCCAGTCCAGCCAAGGAGAGACCCTGCCTCAAAAACTAAGGTGGAAAGAAATAAAGGAGGATGCACAATATTGATCTTTGGTCTCTATGCGCACACACACACACACAAACACACACACACAAACACACATATACACACACATACACACACATAAACACATAAATACACACACATACACACACACACAAACACATACACACAAACACACACACAAACACATACACACATACACACACATATACACACACATATACACACACACACACACAAACACACATACACACACACACACACACACACACACACACACACACACACTCCTCTTGGGATTGCAATATTGTAAGAAAGCTCAAGTTTTGTGGGGAAAGAGATGCTCGGCCAGCCCTTAGCTATCATGTACCAGATAGGTGAGTAAAGACACCACCTTGGCTGTCCAGCTCAATAGTCTGGATGGTTCGGGTCTCAGCCAACAAATGCATGTGAATGGCCCCAAGTGAAAACGGCTCAACTGGGCCCAGCCAACCCCAGAAACATCAGAAACAGCACAGTGTTGCAATTTTAAGCCACAAGACTTTGGGGTGCATTGTTGCGTAGCAACAGGTAAATGAGACAATCTCCCCATTTCCTCTGCAAGTTTTTGGCTCTCACGGTCCTCTCTGCAACATCTGTTTCACCGCTTCTTCACTGTGCATTGTGGGAAATAGACCCAGGCTACCAGCATCCCTGCTCAGTCTGTGTGTTCATGGTTATCCAAGTGTTCTGAAGGTACCCATGTCACTTCAGAACTTGTTAGAGAAACACATTCTCAGGCCTTCTCTGAACCAAATGACTCAGGGTCTGCAGCTGAGGCCCCCATTCATGTTTAAAAAGTCTTTTAGGGGGTGGGGCAGAGGGATGTAGCTCAGTTAGTAGATGCTTGCCTAGCTAGCATGCACAAAATCCTAGGCTCAATTGGCAGCATCCCATAAACTAGGTATGGTCATTCTTGACTGTAATCCAAGTACTCTGGAGGTGGAGGCAGGAGGATCAGAAAACTCAAAGTCATCTTTTTGGCTACAAGTGAGTTTGAGGCCAGCCAGGCTACATGAGGCCCTGTCTCAAAACAGTCCTTTGGGGGATTCTGGTAAGTATTCGAGCTTTAGGCTGTTCTCTACCAGTCATGGGAATCTCGTCCCTCCTTGCTAGTGATTGGTTTAGGAACCCAGGCCCAAGCCAATCAGCACATACCATGCCTTGGTTTTAGTAATTCCTTTGTGGCTGAAGGAATGGCTCTCTTTCTGAGGTAGGTGTTCCATTCTGAAGGGAGCCAGCCAGAATATGCTGCTGATCCTGAGGATGAAAGCAGCAATTTAGGGAGAACACAGGTATTCAGTCAGCCCAGCCTATCTTGGAATTTCTTATGTTTGGGTCAAAAAGAGTCCTTGTTGGTCAAACTTTTTTGAGTCAGCTGTTGAGTTCCCTGCAGCCACTAGTGCACCCCCAGATACAGTGGGCTTTGCATCCTCTAGTTCACAGGAGGGGATTAAGAAATTTGCACTAGGCAGTTAGGAAATGAATTGCTAGGATCTGAACCCGGGGCTTTGCTGTCAAAGGCCATCATGAGGTTACAGCTGGGAATGAGAGATGGGCTCCGCTTTCTTAACGGGTTAGGGTAGCAAGCAGACACGAAGGCAGAGAGTATGTGACAGAAGAAGCAATCCCATGGAGGGAAGAGAAGGTCTCCAGAGGAGGGAGGGTCCACCTGACAAACGACTTTTGCCTGATTCTATCCAGAGCCTATGTTTGTGTCCCTAAATCAAGTGATGTTCTTTCTCTTCTTCTCTCCCCCAAACAGATTGACATAATATGTTGTTTTGCAAGACCCACAGGAGAAGAGCATAAAGCCAGTGTTCCTTTGAGAAGTAGGCAGATTGGTCCAAGTGCATCTATAAACTGTAACCACCCACACATACCATTCCAAAGGCAGTGCCTAAGACAAAAAGCGCAGTCTAGAAGATTCCCATTAGTGCAGACAAAAGGTAAGAGCCGCAGACCTCATCTCCAGCACACATATAGCACGACATAAATGTGGTGTCTTACAACCCTGGGGGTCTGCAGACTGTGTGCGTCTTGGAGGATGACCGCATCTGAGGGAGGCTGTGCCTCCTGCTCACTACCCTGTTGTCTGCATTGCGGGTGAGCTCTCACCCACTCCCACCATGTTCCTGCTCTCTTTGGCGCCCCTTCAGAGCTGTGGAGCTAATTTTAACCTGTAAGCTGAATCGCAGAGCAAAGAAGACCTAGGACTCAGGGTGGCTGTAACTAAAGGAAACAGGACCTGAGTCTTCAGAGTAATAAGGCAAGCCAGGAGCTAACCACTTTTCTCTCTGACCATTACTCAGAATTTAAAAATAAGGGCAGATCATCCTTGGTAAATATCTTGTCATGGGAAACAAACTGCTATGGCAAAGAGATAGCAGGCATTTACTGAAATGTATGGGACATTGTTTCGGAAGGGACCTGGCTAAAAAGATGTGCTAAGTTGTTTCCGGGCTTGGGGCCATATGTGTACGAACCGATATAACCAAGGGAAGGCAGGAGAAGAGCAGGTTATTTGGGAGGAACACGGAGAAGAATGGCATGGATCAGCAAGCTTCCCAGAAGTATGATTCGTCCAAGAGTGATGGCGGTTCAGGAAAATGTCGGGAATACAAACTTCCCCCATTTGCTAACTGCCGTGTCTGCATGCTTGTTTTTGGATACAGAGGACTGCTTCGGGACAGATGAGAGGGACCCGTCCTTACCCAGGGTACTGGGCAGGTGTTAAGCACTGTTTAAGCACTCTTAAAATCAGTTAATACTAACGCTCAGCCCTCCTTGTAAGCGCTCCTTCTGATGTTCATTTTCCTGTAAATAAGCAAAGATGTTGGGGGATGGGCCGTCTGACTTCCTAATTGGCAGCTGTTGGACTCTCCTTTGTTGCCCTGGCTGCCTTGAGCAAAAGGAGTGTCAATCAAAAGCCAGCTGGACTACACTTAATGCCAACACTGGCTGCGTCAAACACTCCACAGGCGCTCTGAGAGAACTGCGCTCTGATTGCAGCTGGCTGTCCCTGCACCTGAAGGGGTGGCCTCAGCCAGGTTGTTCAAACAGACAGCGCTGAATTGTTTGATATCACAAGCCTCGGTGAACTCAGGTTACCCTGTAACCACTTCCAACCTGGGCCAGAGGGGGAAGTGCCTCTGCTGTGACTGGGGCTAAAGGGACAGTGCTCCCTCTGATTGGTGCAAACACAAAGCATCATGTGCATGTGGTTTGCTGTGATTGGCGCAAACTCCCCTCCTCTGGCTCCAGAAGCAAGCAATTTAGTAAGCTGCCTGGAAGACCCACCTTCTCGTACTGCCGGCCTGTGTTGTAACTAACGTTAGGCCCAATAAAAGGCTTCTCTTGAGTGATCTTTTCTTGCCTTTTTTTTTATAGTGTGGACTGAGCTGATAACATGAAGAAATTAGCAGGCGAGACAGTGCAGTAGCAGTGATGACACATGACCGACGCGGCAAGGTGCCAGAGCGGTAAGGTGAGTGTCTACTTGACGGCGGAAGGATAGAAGGCTGCAAAGAGTTAGGAGCGCAGGACCGAGTTACCCCGAGAGTCCTAGCGAGTGTCAAGCCCTTTGGGTCACAGATCTCTGACACCTCAGGCCAGGAGCTGTCACACTGGCCACTGTCAATGCTGCTGAAGGCTGAAGGATCCTGACTTTGTTCCTACAATAGGAACAGCAACTCCTGTAGAGCTACGGATCCGGTTCCCCAAAGCCTCCTTAAGAGCTATGAACACTAGAGGGCGCTGCTTGCTGCTGGTAATGGAGTAGTTCTGTCAACACCACTGAATGCAAATACTGTTGAGACCAGCCAGCTTCCCACCTACCCACAATTTGTCACTGTTTTTCTCTTAAACTCTAATGATATTGTTCTCAAGCCTCAAAAACAAACAACAAACAAACAAACAAACAAACACCAAAACAATAAAACAACTACAACAAAATAACCAAAGTCCCCATGCTAGATGATGGGTCGCAGCCATGTGGCCAAGACTGGCCTCCAACTCACGGTTATCTTCCTGCCTCAGCCTCCTGAGTGCTGGGATTATAGGCATGTACTACCAGTTGAGATGAACTTGTGCTGCTTTTAATGACTGTGATCTCTCCTCATGTGCTTCCCATCTGCTGAGTCCCCAAGTCCTGGTGCAGAGCATGTAGTGCTTTGGGGTCCAGGATGGAAGAGTATTAGGGGCCCAGCAATGGACTGGGCAGGACCACTAGATTGTTGCTTCCTGAGGCAAGAGAGAGGGCCAGAGAGCCTGTGGTGGCACACACTGTCCGCCACTCTGTCTTCCATGTCCTAAGTTTAGAGTTTGAGCGCTCACAACCCTCTTTTCCTGAGGTACTTGGGAAGGGAAGCACATCTGGGTTGAGTCTAAGGAGGCTGTTCCTGACTGGAGAGAACCAGGATCCCTTGGCTTGCTTACCTGGGTCAGTCCTGTATTTGATGGATAAGCAGGGGCTTCCCTGAGGAATTTTTCCTGGTACAGGTGGTTTGGGCTCCCTGGATGGCTAACTAGAACCTTCCTGCCCTGAATCTGGACTCCCTCACTGACTTGCTCCAGGAAAGATCCCATGGGGGATGCTGTCTATCCCCACGATGGAGAGATGTCTCAGCAGACAAGTGAATTTGGGTCCCCAGAACCACTGTGTAAATGAGCGCTGGGTTCAACTGCCTAAGCAAGTAAGATGGAGAGCGATTCAGGAAGATGTCTGACATCAACCTGGGGTCTGAATACACATGTGTATGTATACATATGCTCCTGCACATACATGAACATGCATACACATCTGTATATCACATATACATATGTCTTAGGGTTTCTATTGCTGTGAAGAGACACAATGACTACAGCAACTCTTATAAAGGAAAATACTTAGCTGAGGTGGTTCACTTACAGTTTCAGAGGTTCAGTCCATCATCATCATGGAAGGAGCATGGTGGTGTGCAGGCAGACATGGTACTGGCTACATCTTGACCAGAAGGCAACAGAAAATGGTCTGAACATCACACTGAGAGAAGCTTCAGCAAAAGAGACCTCAAAGCCCGCCCCCACAGTGATACACTTCCTCCAACAAGGCCACACCCACTCTAACAAAGCCACACCTCCTAATATAAGGGCCAATTATATTCAAACTACTACACATACAAAAAAGGAAAAAAAAAAAAAAAGGTACATCCTACCTGTCACTCTGGCCAGAAGTTGGGGAGATAGATTCTAAGCAATGATTTCAGTTTCTTTACATGTGCTCCCAAGGATTTATTTGGCTTTGCCACTCATCAGATATTGTAAACATAGGACTGCTGGCTGGATGTCACTTAGTTGGTTTTTTTTTTTTTTGAGTATTCTTTTTTTTTTTAAATTTTATTTTGCAATACAATGCAGTTCTACATATCAGCCAAGGATTCCCTTGTTCTCCCCCCTCCCGGCCCCCTCACCTCACCCCCAGCCCACCCCCCATTCCCACCTCCTCCAGGCATAAAAACCGACATGTGGACCAATGGAATCGAATTGAAGACCCTGACATTAATCTGCACACCTATGAACATATATAGGGATGTCACTTAGTTTTAACTGACCCCTAATAAAAGGTACCGCGTAGGCTCAGAAAGGTGGTGTTCTGTAATCACAGCACTGTGAGGCTGAGACAAGAGGTCTGAGTTCTAGGCCAACCTGGGCTAAGGTAATGAGATCTTATCTCTAACCTACTCTTCCATACAGAAGGCCATTTAACAGCCACCAGAGCACCATCTGCTGCTGGAGACCAGTTAGGAATTGAGTGGCATGCAGAAGACTGAGGGGTTGGCTCTCCCAGCAGCAGGCTTTGTGAACAGTTTCCTCAGGCTCTAACTGCCTGGCTTGAGCTCTTCATATAAAGGGTAAAGGTATGAATGGAAGGGACAGGTGGATTCAAAGGGTCTGTTCAGTATGGACTCTGGGTGTCTTAGTCAGGGTTTCTATTTCTGTGAAGAGACACCATTACCATGGCAACTCTTCTAAAGGAAAACATTTAATTGGGGTGGCTCATTTACAGTTTCAGAGGTTTAGTCCGTTATCATCATGGGCAGGACATGGCAGCACACAGGCAGACGTGGTGCTGGAGAAGAAGCTGAGAGTTCTGCATCTTGATCATCAGGCAATGAGTAGTGAACTGTGTGCTACACAGAGTGTAGCTTGAGCAAAGGAGACCTCAGAGCCCACCCCCACAGTGATACATTTTCTCCAACAAGGGCATGGCTACTCCAACAAAGCCACATATCCCAATAGTGCCATTCCCTTTGGGGGCCATTTTCTTTCAAACCACCACATTCTACTCCCTGGATCCTAAAGGTTTGTAGCCATATCATAATGCAAAATTGCATTTAGTCCAACTTCAAAAGTCCCCATAGTCTATAATAGTTGCAAACTTATTTAAAAGTCTAAAGTTCAAAGTCTCTTCTGAGATTCATGCAATCTCTTAACTGTTATCCACTGTAAAATCAAAATCAAAAAGCAGATCACATTCTTCCAACATATAATAGCACAGGATATACATTACTGTTCCAAGACATAGGGAAAGGAGCATAGTGAGGAAATACTGGACCAAAGCAAGACCAAAAACCAGCCGGGCAAACTCCAAACTCTGCATCTCTATGTCTGATGTCAAAGTGTTCTTCAGATCTCCAGCTCCTTTCATCTTTGTTGACTGCAACACACTTCTTTCTTCTGGGCTGGTTCCACTCCCTGTTAGTGGCTTTCCTCAGCAGGTATTCCATGGCTCTGGCATCTCCAATATCTTGAGGTCTCCAAGGCAATCCAGGCTTCACCTTCACAGCTTCACGCAGTGGCCTCTCTATCCATGAACACCTCTGATGCATGCCTGGCCTCTGCATGTAGTGGAGGAGGATTCCATAATCCCTTTCTTCTATTCTTTACTCTAAAGCCAGGAACACATGACTAAAGCTGCTAAGTTCTGCCGCTTGCTGGGGCTGGAACATGGCTCCCTTGTTCAATTACATCTTCACAAGCTTTCTGTTTTCAATGGTTTCCTTCACTGCCCAAGTTTGGCTGTCCTTGAACTTGCTCTGTGAACTATGCTGGCCTCAAACTCCTTGCTCAGCTTGCTCCCTTTCATTATAAATCTTTATAAACATGAACACTAGTAACCACGTGACAGAGTCTATACTAGGTTGTTTTGAGATTTCCTCTGTCAAAGGAATTAATCCAAAACTTCAATTTAGCCCCAGGCAGACTTTTCGAACAAGAACAAAAACCAACCACATTCTTCACCAATATATCACAAGAATGATCTCTAGGCAACATACTAAAATTCTTCTCCTCTGAAACCTCTTGAGTCAGGCCCCCATAGTTCATCAGATCACACTCAACATCACTGTCTTCCATGCTCCTACTAGTATGGCCCATTAAGCAGCACTTAGTGTTCAGCTGCTTTTCTAATCCAAAGTCCCAAGGTCCACATTCCAACAAAAGTATGGTCAGGCCTACCACAGCAATACCCCAGTCCCTGGTACCAATTTCTGTCTTAGGGTTTCTTTTGCTGTGAAGAGACACCATGACCAAGTCAATTTTTATAAAGGAAAAGATTTAATTGGGGTGGCTTACAGTTTCAGAAGTTTAGTCCATTATCATCATGACAGCATGCAGGCAGACATGGTGCTAGAGAAGGAGTTCAGAGTTCTACATCTTGATCTGCAGGCAACAGGAAGTGAACTGTGTGCTGCACTAGTGTAGCTTGAGCAAAGGAGACCTCAAAGCCCACCCTCACAATGACACCCTTTCTCCAACAAGGGCATGCCTACTCCAACAAAGCCATACCTCCTAATAGTGCCACTCCCTTTGGGGGTCATTTTCATTTAAACCACCACATTGGGGATGGAGATATTGCTCAGCAGTTAAGAGCAGTTGTTCTTGCAGAGTGCTGGAGTTCCATTCCCAGCACCCACATAGCATTTTACAACCATTTGTAACTCTAGTTCCAGAGGATCATGTAGTTGGTTGTTTTTGCTCTTTACTCTTTAGGGGGCCTGCCACCCAGCTCCCAAATAAATCACTCATGGAGGCTTATTCTTATGCCTGGCCTTAGCTTGGCTTTTTTTCTAATCAGCTTTTCTTAACCTAAATTATCCCATCTACCTCTTGCCTCTGGGCTTTTACCTTTCTCTATTCTATATACCTTTCTTTACTGCTTGCTCTATGGCTTTCTGTGTAGCTGGGCAGATGGCCCCTGGCATCCTCTTCTCCTCCTTTCTCACTCCTTGATCTCCTCTTCACACATTTCTCCTCCTATTTATTCTCTCTGCCTGCCAGCCCTCCTATCCTTTCTCCTGCTTAGCTATTGACCATTCAGCTCCTTATTAGACCAATCAGGTGTTTTAGACAGGCAAAGTAACACAGCTTCACAGAAATAAATAAATGCAGCATAAAAGAATGCAACACATTTTTGCATCATTAAACAAGTGTTCCACTGTAGCTGAA